TAACGACGTTGGCGGAGGGAACACTAGTCGAGGCGCTCATAATCAAAGTCAGCCTTATCTCGGTCAGTGGCTGAATGTCACGCTCGAGAGACCCCCTTCCCATTCCTCAGGTACCGCAATCCGTAATCCTTCGAAAACTGAATAATCATACTCAGTGCACATGTTAGAAATAATTCCTGGAGTTACAAGAAGATCGGCCATGCCGATCTCTTTGTGGCAATTCAACAAGGTTAGTAAACCCCTGGAACCCTACTCAGATTGACTTGTATCGGGAGCGAATTCCTCCCGATTTCCTTCGTTCTTTGTGGGAGTAATAGTTCAGAAGCACATAGTCTCATGTGTAACATTTGTACATTTATTGACAGGGAAATGCGAGACCTGGAGGCGTGTCAGTCGCTTCTGGGGTCAGGCGCTTAATGCGTCGCTTCTGGGGTCGCACTAGTAGGTGAAAGAGCTGACTCCGCGACGAACCGCAGCACATCCAGAGCAGAGACTGTGATTGTGTCGGAGCTCAAGTTATGGATTGGTTCTCATTGCTGCCCTTGAGGCGGCGATTCAAACCAAGTAATAGTGCATATATATACCGCGTAGTTATGTAGGCACTGCCCAAAGTCCCCATATTATGCATACTTATGTAATCTAGTTGGGCGACTACGTATGTGTGAAGGATCATCGTCGTTATCTTTGAACCCCATCTTTCAGATTGGATTGGAGGACCCCCGTCCACAAGGTGCTCTCCTTTCGTCAACGACTGTCCGACTCAGTCACTGGGGTCTCGTCCGTGACTCGCAGATGATAGCACGCTGCAGAAATCAGCTCGAGCGCGAGCCGCAGGACAACATGTCGGCCTGCCGATTCGAGGTGTACGACGTCGCTGCAGCTCCGCTGCCCACATCTGGCCACAAGTAGTTTGTTCACCACGGCCGGGCCACTCGGGACGTCGACGTCCTTCTGCCGACCGTTGCGGCGAGGACGACGCCGGTTGCGACGGGGGGACGACTTCTCCAAGCACGTGAGCCGGATGTCAGCGAGAAGATGGATGTCTCTGAGGGGCTCCAGCGAATAGTCGTACGTGATGAAAATGATGTAGTCGGCTTTCGTGAGCTGGAGCTGGTAGAGTTCCCGGGGGCCAGGCACCGTCCGGAATTCGACGTCGTACCCTTGTGCTTGGAGGCCATATCTGGCCCAGGTTGGAAAGGTCACGTCGAGACGCGTTTCGCCGTGGGTGTCCCGTAACAACATGAACCGGACGCCCATGACATCAAGAGGAGGGGGCTCACGGTTGGGGTGGGGCAGGAACACGGTCCTGATGGAGACACGGTGTCGGAGATCCTGCCTTCGGATGAGAAGCTGGTCGTGCGGTATCTCCCACTCGTCCGAGACACATGCTGGGCCTAGCACAAATGGACTGTACCCATCCCCGGAGGGTGATTTGGAGACACAGAGACGACAGACCAGACGCCCACCGCTCTAGCTGCGACGTATGCATGCGAAGATTATGACATACCATTCCCAGTCCGGGTGATTGGGCGCCTTATAGGAGAGGCGCATTACAGGCAAGTGTGTGCGGATGCCGTGTGGCGAACGGCTGTACTCTTGAGGACGGAGACCTGAATCCCCTATGACCTCTTGGAGAGCATCGTGCTGGAGGGTCTCCAGATACTCGACGTCGCGCTTTCTGAAGTTACGCGGCGATAAGGCGAAAAGACTGGGTGTGACGGGGGATTCGCCAGGGCCACGGTAGCCCGAGGATAGGGGTAGCGACACGGGAGAGTCGTCGTCACCGTTGTTCTCCAAACCGCCCACTAGACAAGCATGCTCCTCAGGAGAGGCAAACCCCCAAGCAAAGAGAGTCTGGTCGGGTATTCGTCCGAGGATTTCCTCCTGCAACCTCCTGAACGCCCGCCGACCTTCTCCGTACAAGGGGGACATATGAATGTCGAAGATACCTAAAAGTGAGTACGCCTCGTCCTCCACCTTCGTTGTCTCCCGTCCGGACGCCCATAACAAGCGCACCGCCACGCTGACGCTGTCCGGCGACGTTTGGTGCCTCAGAACAGATGATCGATGCCGGCCCTCCGCTCCACGACCTCTTCCAGGCTGTGCTTCGTCCCGAATGGCTGCCACTCCTTGGACAAGAACACGACCTCCCGGGGTGCGATGAGCTCTTGAAGCGTCCATCCTCGACTGAACCATCTGCTTCTCGACAGCTGGTCTTGGACCGGCTCTTGTTCACCTCGAAGAGAAACGTCGACAAAGTAGGGGTAACAGAGCTTGGCGTCGCGGTACCAGACGTACATGGAGTTGATGGCCTCGGAGAGCTCCGCGCTGCTCGACTGATCGATACAACACGAATCAATCCAGATGTAGTGGAAGCCGTCTCTCCGCGCAACTTCGCAGGCGTGACATATCTTGGGCGACAGTCTGGGGTCGTCCCATATTTCGAGAGACTCGGAGGAGGGGGAGCTTCCAGAAGTAGTCGAAGGTGAAGTTGTGGGGGTGACCACGGACAGTCGACGGCCGTCGGGGCCATATGACTTCTGGATTACTCGGAGGTCCTGATAGGTCTGCTCGCCCTTGCTGTCCCATGTGTGCGACAGGATGGCGTATATGGCGGTACATAGCAGGATCGTTGTACGTTACAAATTGACCGGTTCGGGTATCAAGAAGGCGCATGTTAGCATTGACTTTACGGATAGGGGAGCAGGCCATGACGGAGGTGGCTGGCTGTACGGTGGTACAGAGAGGTGGCTACGGGAGATAGAGACAGAGAAAACAAGGACGGGACGAGGACGTGAACCAACCAAGCCTGGCCAGGTGGGAGAGATCAGGAGGCTATTGGCGAGATTAGATCTGGTGGCGGACCGGTGATGTGCGATCTGGAGATGGACAGAACGAGCAAGTGACTCGCGCGCGCGGACGATTCGACAGAGCAGCCCGAATGCTCAGGCTGCATCGATTACACCAGCTTCCTTTCCGCCGTCCTCACTACCTCCTTTCTCCCCGACCAATTGCTGCCCTACGGGTTCTCTCTCCTGCTGCTTACCGTGCGCACTCGACATCCATGACCTCCCCGGTCGCCTCCACCTCGCAACCAGCGCAGCTTCCTGCGCTCGACGCTCCCCACAAGGACCAGGCCCCGAAGAAGCCAAAGGACAAGAAGAAGGAGGCTACGTCAGCGCACCCTCTCGAGGTGTGCATACACTCAGGCCGTAGCCGTGTCATCTCGCTCATCCGTTTCCAGCTGAACCCGCGTCCGGAATTCTTCGATCACCGCATCAAACTCTTCGACAAGCTGAAGGCAGAATACGATGAGTGGTTAAAGAGTGCGTCACTTATGCCCTGCGGATATCTATATGCGGCGCCTGACCGAACCGACCCGAAGACCAGCCTCGCCAGGAAATCACCATCACCCTCCCGGATGGCGCGCAACGGAAGGGAACGAGCTGGGAGACGACTCCTCTGGACATTGCGAAGGCGATCTCCCAAGGTCTCGCGGACAAGGTCGTGATCGCGAAGGTGAGCCACTCTCGTCCCACCTTCTCTGGCGATCCCTAGAGATTGCGTCCAACGCAGTCCTTAAGAAGGATAACAAGCGTGTACCTTGGTCCGTGTTGCATGTCGACTGCGCATCGGGCCATGTGTGTAACGCGGGTAGGGCTTGCTGGTTGCCTCTATCGCGTTGCCAGAAGCAGATCTGCGGAGGTGTTACCTCCGGGGAATCGCCGCGGATGTCGACGGGCAAGCAGGTGATCCCCTCGGGGCGAATGCGACTGTAGCTCGGCAAAGTCCTGAGTGTTCAGCATTCCGATTCATACGTCTTCATGGTGCGGTGTGATGCGTTGCTGACCGGGCCGTCAGGTGAACGGCGAGCTTTGGGACCTCGAGCGCCCCTTCGAAGGGTCCGCATCACTACAACTGCTCACATTCGATGATGAGGAAGGTCAGTACGCCCTCGAAAGGTTGGGCTATCAGTCAATGTACCGACCATGACTCCAGGCAAGCGCGTCTTCTGGCATTCATCCGCTCACGTCCTCGGTGAGGCCTCCGAGAGGCATTATGGCTGTCACCTGTGCATCGGTCCCCCGACAGATGACGGCTTCTTCTACGAAATGGCCATCCCGGACAGGTAAGCCTTTCTGTGGACTCGTACACTTTTGAGGCCCCACTCACGAGGTCCATCATAGGCCAGTCGTGAACAGCGACTACCCTGCCCTCGAGAAGATCGCAGACCTCGCCATCAAGGAGAAGCAGAAGTTCGAGCGCCTCGTCGTCCCCAAGGAGACTCTCCTCGAGATGTTCGGGGTAAGTCATGGGCGTATGCGCACTCGTATGCGTAGACAGCTCATAGAGGGGCGGATATGCAGTACAACAAGTACAAGAAATACATCATCGAGACCAAAATCCCCGACGGCACCTCCACCACGGTGTACCGCTGCGGACCGATGGTGGACCTGTGTGTCGGCCCCCATATCCCGCACACCGGCAAGATCAAGGCGTTCATGGTCACCAAGGTCCGTTCCCAGCGTAAGCTCCGCCTTCGAGAGGGCTCGGTCTGAGGATATCTCCCTGTGCAGAACTCCGCATCCTACTTCCTGGGAGACGCCGCAAACGACTCGCTCCAGCGTGTGTACGGCATCTCCTTCCCAGACAAGGCTCAGCTCAAGGAGTACAAGGCGTTCCTCGAGGAGGCGGCGAAGCGTGATCACAGGAAAATCGGGAAGGTACGCTTGTCTGGTCGCTCAGTCCCGTCTGTGACAAGTCGAAGCCGACTGTATGCGCCCCTTTGGCGACTATAGGAGCAAGAGCTGTTCTTCTTTAACGACCTCAGCCCGGGAAGCTGCTTCTTCCTCCCTCACGGCACTCGAATCTACAACACGCTCATTGAGCTCATGCGCGTAAGTCTTGAATGATTTGCCACCTACCCTAAACTCACCATATGCGCGTCCAGTCGGAGTACTTCAAGCGTGGATACCAGGAAGGTACGTTGGCCTGTCGATGCCAACTATGTAGACAGGTTATTGACAACCTCTACAGTCATCTCGCCGAACATGTACCACTCCAAGCTCTGGGAGACGTCCGGCCACTGGCAGAACTACAAGGACGACATGTTCACACTCGACATCGAGAAGGAGAAGTGGGGGCTTAAGCCGATGAACTGCCCGGGCCACTGCCTGATCTTCGACTCGCGCGACCGCTCGTACAAGGAGCTCCCGATCCGCATGGCCGAGTTCGGCATCGTCCACCGCAACGAGGCGTCGGGCGCGCTCACCGGCCTCACGCGCGTGCGCAGGTTCGTGCAGGACGACACGCACGTGTTCTGCATGCCGTCGCAGATCGAGGAGGAGATCGCGGCGCTGTTCGACTTCATGCAGCACATCTACGGGCTGTTCGGGTTCGACTTCGGCCTCGAGCTCTCGACGCGCCCGGACAACTATCTCGGCGAGATCGAGACGTGGAACCAGGCCGAGGATGTATGTGTCCCCCCTTACCCATTCAGGCGTTTGCACGAGCTGACCGTGGTACCTCGCACGCGCACAGCAACTGACAAAGGCACTCGACAAGTTCTACCCCGGCAAGTGGGAGCTCAACCCGGGCGACGGCGCGTTCTACGGCCCCAAGATTGACATCAAGATCAAGGACGCCCTCCGCCGCTCGTTCCAGTGCGCGACGATCCAGCTCGACTTCCAGCTGCCCGAGCGCTTCAACCTCAAGTACCGCGCGGCAGACGAGGCCGCCGCCGCGGACGCGGGCAGGCCGCCTCCGCGCCCGGTCATGATCCACCGCGCGATCCTGGGCAGCTTGGAGCGGTTCATCGCGATCATCACGGAGCACTTTGCTGGCAAGTGGCCGTTCTGGATCAGCCCGCGGCAGGTGCTCGTCGTGCCCGTCGCGGTGCCTTACGTGAGTGCCTACGTTCCAGAGGCAGAGACGGGATGCTGACGTGGTGCGTCTGCAGCGGGAATACGCGACGGAGGTCGCTGAGATGCTCACGAAGCTCGGGCTGTTCGTCGACGTCGACAACGGCGAGAACACGCTCCCGAAGAAGATCCGCAACGGCGAAATCGCGCAGTACAACTTCATCCTCGGTGCGTGCTCGCCTCGCCTCGCCTCTTGTTGGTCCTGCATGCACTGACTTTTCTTTGTGGGTGCAGTCGTCGGCCAGGAAGAGCTCGACAGCCGGTCCGTCAACGTCCGCAACCGCGACGACGTCGGCACGAAGGCGCGCACGGAGACGCTGCCGCTCGATGTGATTGCGGAGAAGCTGTCGATCCTCAGAGAGACGCGGAGCCTTCACAACAAGCTCCCGTAGTAGAGCACTAGAAGCCATGAGTTCTAGCTGGAGGTTGTGGAGGTCCAGTCACTGTGAAGTAGTTGTGCTGTGTATATTCTGCACGTGCCTTGCGCTATCTTGGTATCTCGGGGTAAACTGGCGGCGGGGAAGAAATCAAGTGTACACCCCTTAGAAGATTGTGCTGCATTATCGCAATTGCTGAGTGGGACCTGCGAACTCCAGTACGTTCCGCGCTTGTAATGCCACATGCAAAGAAGGGCGAGCGCATCATCCGTGGCTAGGAGGTAAGGCGCTAGACAAACCTATGGGTATCAACTGCGAGGTTTACATGAGATGATAGTCCGAGACATGATGTCTAAGCTTGTGAGGTAAGGTATGTACTTCGACTAGAGAAGCTGATGTCAATTGCTGCGCAATGAGTGCATGGAAAAACAGCCGCTCACATCCACGGAAGGACCACCTCCCTCACCGGGGAGTAAGGTAGCACGGTCTTGCTCGACATTCCGCTCTCATACATCCAGTCCACATAAACCGGGGTCGACAAACTGACCCACAAGACCACCCACGCGTAGCCTAGCCACCTCGTCGCCGTCGTAGGGCCCGTGAAGCCGAACGATTTGGCAAGCTTGATGACGACATCCTCAAAGGTGATGGCGAGACCGTTATACAGGAAGTACAGGAACGAGCCCGCGCGTGTCGTCTGGGCGTTCGCGAGGTCGCCGAAGGAGTGCAAGAGGCCCGAGACGGCGAAGGCGACGTACACCTGGACTTGTGAGGAGAGGAACGTCCCGCGGGGGATGCGGAGAGTGTCGACGGCAACGGAGCCGAATTTCTGGAAGTACTGGAGAGGGACGGTACGTATCGTCAATCGAAGGATCAGTCGTCAGTGGGAGGAAACGGTCTTACGCGGCGGAAGAACTGATGCCAGGTCCGTCTGACACGTCAATGTTAGTACCGTGGAGACCGAGGAAGTGCGAGAACTCACCCCCATAGACGGCGGACGGTGTACGCGTCCTTCCAACTCCCGAAGGCGTCCGGCCAGTCCTCTGCTCTGCTCGCGTACGAGGCGACCGCCACAATGGACGAGAACTCGTAGTACAATTTTAGGACAGAGTATGTCATGAGGAGCCAGATGGCCATACAATACGACTTCTGGAGGTGGCCAATAACGCCTGGTTGGAACTGGCTGCCTCCAGGAAACGTCGATACGTACAGGGGACGGTTGAGTCGGACCAAGGACTCGGAGACATCAGCTAGCGCATAAGCCATCAGGAGCTGACGAGTTCTGCGCAAGAGAAACTGTGCCCGAGTGCCCTTAACAGGAGGGACGTTGGCTACCTGCAGCAAGCAGATGGTTGTCGGTGCGCGCCAAGTCTCATGCGGGCGGTAGACGTACCTGTACGTTCCAACCTATCATCCGATTGTTGCGCAGAAAGCAGAAGGTAGTATACAAGCGCGACCAGATAGGCCTGGATGCCAAGGGAGACTTATCCTCGTCGCCGAAGTACCGGAAATCCCGCATGGGATCGTTAAACCAGATGAGATAGATGACGCTGAAGAACGTGTTGCCCAGGGTCGCGCTTCTGAGAGTGTCTTCATCGACGCTCTCTCCACTTGTGGTCGTGGCGAAGGTGTGGATGATATAGCCAAGAAGTGCGACGGAGCCAGCGAGCTTCGCAGCACAAGGAATGTTGATTGCGACGAGGAGCGTCAAGATGAGCTCTGGGAGGAGTAGGTGGGCGGGGCCAGAGAATGGGACGCGTGTGTCTGACTCCGCGCCTCGGAACGATGCCATGAAGGAATAGCGAGTCGTGATGTTTCACAGACCACGCCGGTGCCGGCTCCCTATCTCGACCTCGCAGTAGTTATGCCTGCACACAGTAGTCAGCGACTTTAGGTGCGTACTGTGACATGGCTACAGACCTCTTGCTATGGTTCAGAGAGACGGGTGGTCGCAATGGCGAGTACCCCCTCGTGGATGCCAACGCACCACTTGATAGGGTTGGGATATGGGGGGACGAAGTTGTGCGATGCCTCCGTGCCATACCGCAAGAATGTCGATTGTCGGATCTGCCTTGTGCCGATGGCAGATGAAAGGTACGGCATCCGGTCAGCAGAAGCAATGAAATAGTTCGGAACCAAGGTATCACGGGTACAGTATGCGCTAGTATCAACGCCTGTTATGGCAAGTCAGCGGGGTATAGAGAATTCAAGCAGCCGGCGAAAATCTTTCACCGCGTACCATAGTCTCCCAGTGTATCCTACTGAACGCAACTTTAATCGGGATGCTGTAGAGCCAAGATCGGTCCAAGGCTCAGAGTCAGATGGTGGTATATAAGCGATAGTCATGGTCGACTCGATGCCTGGAAGCAATCAATTGCCCAAACCTTGTTATTATTAGGACCGTTAGTATCTGGGGTTGCAGGGGCGAAACCAGATGAGGTGGCAGAATTCCCAATCGCAAAGGAAGCGAAGAATTCGGTACATCTACACAGCTCCCGGACAAGCGGCTGTATGTCGACATCTTGGGCGCACTATGACCGTCTGCTGCTCGATCTATCGCGGGGGTGTTGTCAATACTCAAGGAGATGGGGAGTTCACGCAACGAGTTCCCGCAGTGGAGCGGTGGGCGTTTAGGGGCTCGCTAGATCCAAGAAGGTCGTGTTGAGCTGTCAGTGATACTAACGTTACCTATAAGCTGCTTGGGCTGGTATGTGCTAAGTGCTATTTTGAAGTAAAATTGGGCGCAGAAAACAAATGAAGCACCTCTCTGGTTGTCGTGCTGCCGTACCAGGTCACCGAGTAGTAACCACGAAGGGGGCTCGCCTCCTTTCGCATTTCCATGACTGTAAGCCAACACCCACGAGGCTCATGCCCCTGCGCGGCATATTGACGGTATGATGAGACCAATTGTGTAGCAAGACGGAATGGTGGTATCCAAGTACGAGGTGAGATTACAATTACCCACAGTCCGAGACAGTTGGTCTAGGCCTGTTCGAATAAGTATGTACTTTTGCTGAACGGGATGATCAGTCACTACAAACCGAGCGCGCACGAAATCAACGACTCACATCCACGGATGAAGCACCTCCCTCACCAGGGAGTAAGGTACCGTGTCCTTGCCCCACACTCCGGTTTCATTCATCCAATCAACATAGATCGGGATCGACAAGCCGACCCACAAGACCACCCACGCGTAGCCTAGCCATCTCGTCGCGGTCGTGAGGCCCGTGAAGCCGAACGACTTGGCGAGCTTGATGACGACGTCCTCGAACGTGATGGCGAGGCCGTTCAGGAAGAAGTATATGAACGAGCCTGCGCGTGTGGCTCGGGCGTTCGCGAGGTCGCCGAAGGAGTGCAAGAGGCCCGAAACGGCAAATGCGACGTGGACCTGGACTTGAGAGGAGAGAAACGTCCCGCGGGGAATGCGGAGGGTGTCGACTGCGATCGAGCCGAATTGCTTGAAGTGCTGGAGAAGGACAGCACAGTCCGTCAGTCAGGGAATCGGCTGTCAGCATAGAAAGGCGGTCTTACGCGACGGAGGAATTGGTGCCAGGCCCGTCTGACGCGCCGAGATCAGCGATGCAGATATGCTGAGGCGGGACGAGAGCTCACCCCCATAGACGGCGAACAGTGTACGCGTCCTTCCAGCTCCCAAACACGTCGGGCCAGTCCTCCGGTTGGCTCGCGTACGAGGCGACCGTCACAATGGACGCGAACACGTAGTACACTTTCAGGGTGGAGTATGTCATAAGGAGCCAGTTGACCATACACCACGACTTCTGGAGGTGGCCGATGACGCCTAGCGGGAACCGGGTGCCGCCAGGGAGCGTCGATTCGTATAGGGGACGATTGAAACGCACGATGCAATCGAAGACATCGGCCATCACATAGGCTAGGATGAACTGCCGAGCACGGCGGAAGAGGAATTGCGCCCGAGTGCCCTTGATAGGAGGGACGTTGGCTACCTGTAGTAAGCAGATATTGTCAGTGCGTGCCAGGTCTCATATGCGGGTGGTAGACGTACCTGGACGTTCCAACCTATCATCCGATTGTTGCTTATAAGGCTCAACGCAGCGTATAAGCGCGACCAAATGGGTCTGGATGACAGGGGAGACTTATCCTCGTCGCGGAGGTACCGGAAATCGCGCATGGGATCGTTGGACCAGACGAGGTAGATGACAGTGAAGAACATGTTGCCCAGGACCGCGCTCCCGATCGTGTACTCATCGACACTGTCCCCGCTTGTGGTCGTGGCGAAGGTGTGAATGATATAGCTAAGGAGTGCGATGGATCCAGCGAACTTCGCGGCCCGAGGAATGTCGAATGCGACAAGGAGCGTTAATATAAGCTCTGGAAGGAGCAAGTGGGCAGCGCCAGAGAATGGGACGCGTGCGGCTTGCTCCGCGCCTTGAAAGAACGTCATGTCTGAAGATCTGACGAGTGGCGAGTCGTGACGGACTATGCGGCGGTGCTACGGCCTCAGCTCAAACTCGTAGGATTGATGCCTGTACACAACAGTAAGCGAAGCCATGATCCACCACGGCCAGGATGCATACCTTTTGCAATGCTCCCTTTCGCAATCGTGCGGTGAATGAGTGGCCTTGACGGCGGGCACCTCGTCGTTGGTCGAAGCCAGCGCAAAGCTTGATAGGGTCGGCCATAGAGGGACGATGTCGTACGAGGCATCAATGCCACGCTGAAGGAACATGTCAACCGTCGGGGCTACTCATTACGCTGTAATAAAGAGTATTAGCACAAGTTGTGAACCATGAAACTAAGGAGCGCTTATCCATGATGAACCAATAGTGTTTTGCAAACCTAGTTCAGCGCCCCTTGACTGCATAGTTCAGAATTTGTGCTGATATGTACTCTATTTGCAACGCGGTTTGAACCGAACAACTGGATGCGAACCAAGAGCCTATCAAAGCTTCAAACTCTGCGACTACCCGCACTTGATTGGTATGATTCCTCAATGCCTTCCACATGTGCACTGTGAGCTGTCTACTCTAATATACAAGAAGGCGAGTGATGATATTACTGTATGAGATTGAGCACGGCGCGCAAGAGTTGTGGTACAGGATTAGCGCCTTCACGACGCCCGCTCCGTTGAGGTTCGGGCGCAACATAAAATTGGTTTGCAAAATCAGGAGACAGGGGCCATCAACGTAGTCTGCAACGCTCCTGCGTAGTATCCGAGCCAATTATTCACATGTCGTGATCGTTCATGAAGTGTGAGGGTCTGGACAGTCGTCGAGCGCCTCCAAAGTGCGATTCTACTACAACTACGTCGTAACGCAGTACCGGAGGCTTCAAGAGGGGGTCCGGTACATCCACATAGCTTCCCAGATATGCGGACAACGAGCGGAGCACTCAGCCCATAGGGTGGTCGATTCCAGCACAGGAGTGATACAAGCTCTACACTGGACTGCAGTCTACAGACTTCTACTACACGCACCCGGAGCCTACTGCGGCTTCCCTATCCGCGCGTTGTTATAGTTCTGCAGGAACCACTGCACGGTCTCGTCCAGCGCTACGAAGATCCACCACGTCAGCATCGAGCATCGACCACGCGCACCCGCGACTCACCCTTGTCAAACGGCGTGAATGCAAAGCCCGTATCCTTCACGAGCTCGAGCAGCTTCTTGTTCGACGCCGGTTTGCGGAACTGGCCGTCCGCCTTCGTCGTGTCGAAGCGGTACTCGCCCGTGAAGCCGACCGCTTTCACGACGGCGTCCGCGGCCTGCTTGATCGACACTTCCTCGTCCTCGCCGACGGAGAGGATGAGCGGCTCGACCGAGTCGTAGTTGCGGAGCATCCAGACGAAGAGCTTCGCGAGGTCGCGCGAGTAGATGAACTGCCGGAGGGGCTTGCCGGAGCCCCAGACGACGAAGGGGGTGTTGTTCTCTGCAGGCAGGACGACGGGTGAGCGGGGTAAGGGGAAGATGCGAGTATCATTAGGCACAGCAGCAGTCAACAAGGGAAGACGAGACGCATGGAAGAGCCATATATTGAGGGATGCGCGAGAACAGGGTGTTAGCAAGCACAAGAAGCACAAGGTGGAAGGGAACGCACTCTTCGACAGATAACACCTGTGGATGAGCGCGGGGAGGACGTGCGCGCTCTCCATGTCGCTGGTGCGGAAGCGTCAGCGACGGCACACCTTCGCGCACAATGTCCGGAGTCCACGAGGGTGCTCACAAGTTGTCATGCGGGCCGAACACGTTCGTCGGGATCGCGGACGTGAAGTTGTCCCCAAACTGGTCCTTGTACGCGCTGTAATACCACGTCGCGCGTTAGTCGCTGCACCTTCTGGACATGGACGCGATCTGCGGGAACGCGATAAGGGACGAGGAACGCACCGGTTTTGAATGTCGACGAGACGCTTCGCGTGCGCGTAGCCGAAGTTGGACTCGTGCGGGAGGCCGAGGTGGATCTTGGTCTCGTCGAGCGGGTACTCGACCTTGTCGGGGTACACGCACGTCGAGAGGCAGGAGATGACCTTCTTCACTTTGAACTCGTGCGCGGTGTGCAGCACGTTGTCGTTGATGAGGATGTTGTCACGCAGGAAGTCGAGCTGCGTGAGGGCATGTTTTGATTGGTGAGTGGAAGTTACTGACGAGGATGAAGGCGTACCTTCCTGGCCATGTTCGCAAACAAACCTCCGACTGAGAAGAGGTGGAGCGTATGTTGAGAAGGGTACAATATACCAAGGGGAGTTGGAACGAACCAAGCGCGGCCAGATGGATGACATGGGTCGGCTTGTACTTCTCGAAGAGCTTCCTCGTCTGGTCCTGATTCCTACATTCGACATGAATTCCTGGCAAACGCGCGAAATGGGCTAGGATTTGCACACCTCAGGTCCGCCTCCGAAGAACCAATGAAGAACCACTCCTCGCCATCGCGCTTTCCGAAGTGCGAATTCGCGGGCTCGTTCTCAATGACGTACTCAATGCCCTGCCCGACAAGACCGGTGCCACCAGTAACAAGAACTCGTACAGACATCGCAGAGGGAGTACGTTTGGCGGCCAGAGGGTGCGGAGAGTTATCGATGAGGGAGAGAGGGAAGAGCAGCGAGATTCGGGCGGGGAGGAAGAGTGGAAGTGCACAACCGAGATCTCTTCACGGATTATGAGCGCTTCTTGATCATGCTGTCGCGCGCGTTACCTCAAGGGCCTTGCGGCGCGGTCGGACTCATGCGCGAACGACTTACATATGCTCATGGGTCATGGGTCGCATGTTTCTATCAGGAATGGGCCCACGTATGCTCGCCGTTTGTGACATTCTGGACAGCATGCATTGTCCAAGTGCTCTAGACTTGAACTCGACCGTCCAGCAGGTTTCATGTCAAGTTGTCGGTTCGCCCTGCAAACGTTCTTAACGCCACAATAGTTCATCGGGTTCTGCGCGGGCCCTATGCGAAGTCGGTCGCGCGAGCACTGTTCCCGGCGTCGCGAGTCGACGGATTCCGCTGTGTAGAAAGTAGATGAGTGAACATGCTGCTTGCTCGCAATCGCGATGCCGCAGGATGGACGGCGAGGCTGCGCTCGGCAGTGGGTGCAATTGCCAGCGATCGCGACAGGCGTTCTACAGGCGCATGCTTAGTCGCCCATTAGAGTACAAGGGCGCCTGCGGATAAGTCCTACGAATAAATGTGGAGAGCGCGTTGAGCCCGATCACCAGCTCTCCCTCCGCACCTTCCCTCCCCTCCTTCTCTACGACCCCCTACGCCTGCAAGGACGGCGACCACGATGGCCTCTGAACCTCATAACGTTCCCGCGCCGTTCACCACTAAACTCAGCCCTGAACAAGTGGTCGAGTACCGTAAGCGCAAGGTCGCGCTGATCTCTGGTGCGTCAATCTGCTGTCTGACCAGGGCCTGTCTGTGAGATCGTGTCTGATTGACGTGCAGGTATCACCGGCCAGGATGGCTCATATCTGTGAGTGTTCTCATATGCTGTCTCGGAGGTATCACCTCTCGATCTCCCATTTCGCGCCCCCTGAAAGTGGCTATATGCTTTCTGGGGGTGCAATGCGCTACGCGAACACCGCTAGGCGTACCCTCTAGGGTAGCAGTCAAAGCGCTTCTCTGTGTCGCCCCGGTGCTTGTGTACAGAGCTGCACGCGATCTCCTGCAGTGTCGGCGCAAACGCGGCATCATCTCTATCTATTTTAGTACCTTCCCCACCCAGCCGCCCGATTAGGATAACGCATGGGCTGAGACAGCCATTCCAGACTTCCTTGTGAGACGCTATGGTTACAGTGCGCTGCTGGCCCATGAAGGAGGTCTCTATACTCACGCGATGTGTCTGCCATACAATCTCCTGACAGGACAGGATTGACAGTTGATTGACGTTCCCCGCAGAGCCGAGCTTCTCCTCGAAAAGGGCTACGATGTCCATGGCATCATCCGTCGTTCCTCCAGTTTCAACACCAGCCGTCTCAACGACCTCTACGTCGACCTCCACGAGCGTATGTCCCTGCTTTAGCTTCCCTGCACCTGCCCCACTCACTGATCCCGGCGATCCCCAGGCCCCACGCACTTCAAGCTGCATTATGGCGACCTCACGGACTCCACGAACCTCGTCTACATCATCGCGAACGTACGCCCCACCGAGGTCTACAACCTCGGCGCGCAGTCGCACGTCAAGGTCTCGTTCGAGATGGCCGAGTACACGGGCGACGTCGACGGGCTCGGCACGCTCCGCCTCCTCGACGCGATCCGCACGTGCGGGTTCGAGAAGGCCGTCCGCTTCTACCAGGCGTCCACCTCGGAGCTGTACGGGAAGGTCGTCGAGACGCCGCAGTCGGAGAAGACGCCGTTCTACCCGCGCTCGCCGTACGGCGTCGCGAAGCTGTACGGGTTCTGGATAACGGTCAACTACCGGGAGGCGTACGGGATGTACGCGTGCAACGGAATCCTCTTCAACCACGAGAGCCCGCGCCGGGGGCGGACGTTCGTCACGCGCAAGATCACGCGCGCGGTCGCGGACATCCATCTCGGCAAGCAGCACGCCCTGTACCTCGGCAACCTCGACGCGAAGCGTGACTGGGGACACGGTGAGCCGCTCTTGCGTGCTGCTATCTGCGTAGGGGCGTGCGCTGACAAGGCTGGGACCGGGTCGGCGTGCACAGCGAAGGACTACGTCGAGGGCATGTGGCTGATGCTCCAGCAGGACCAGCCGGAGGACTTCGTGCTCGCGACGGGCGAGACACACCCCGTGCGCGAGTTCGTCGAGAAGTCGTTCGCCGTGCTCGGGTACACCATCAAGTGGCGCGGGTCGGGCGTCGGCGAGGAGGGCTACGACGAGAAGACGGGGCGCGTGCTCGTCAAGGTCGACGAGAAGTACTTCCGGCCCGCAGAGGTCGAGTGCGTTTCCCATTCCTCTCCCCCCATTGCGCTGCGTTTGTCTGGTGTCTGACGATGGTGTGTGTGCACAGGTTGCTGCTGGGCGACCCTGCGAAGGCGGAGAGGCTGCTCGGGTGGAAGCGCAAGGTCGACTTCGACTCGCTTGTGAAGGAAATGGTCAGCGAGGACCTCAAGGCGTCAAGCAACCTGATCGAAAACCAGAACTGAACGATGTAATATGTAGCTTGTCTTGTTATGGAGGGAAGAGAGGCGCTCTTTGCTTCTTACCTTTGCGGATATATGCTACGGGACGACGACCATGTGGTAGTTAACGTGCCGTTTGTTTGAATACCCGTACAGCGGGCTCATCTCATGGTACTATGTTCGCTTCGATACCACATCGGTGCGCCCGCCTTCACGAAGTGCCAGACCTCACGATGAGCATCCAATAGACGTTCTCAATCCAAGAAATCCTTATACGCCTCCGTCCAAGCCTTCTTACCACCCGCCTCGATCACATCCTGGACAATCAATAAGTCACGCAGGGCATTTCAAGTGGGAAAGGGTACGCACCCCATGGCAAGGGATGATGCGGTCGAAGTCCCACTGCGCAACTGTCTTCGCGTCGCGCCTCATCGCCCTGCAATTGTGACAGCTCATCAGCACGAATGGCGAACCGCCAGGTTCTGGAGGGCTTACTCTTTGTCCTGGCCCAGCCACCACACCGTCTTCCTGTTCGCCCAGCTGAATGGATTCCAGCTGCTCCACGAGAAGAAGGGGGTGCCGCCTGCTAGAGAGTACTGCGAGATAGAGAGAGATCAGCCCATCGTTAGTCTGAGAGACGCTCGTAGCTCGGTGCGGGACATACCTGCTCGCTGGCGGGGAAGTTGAAGAGGAGGTCGGCCTGAATGAGCGTTCTGGATGGCTTGTGCAGGAACGCGACGTCTTTGTTGTGGAAGCCGGAGAAATAGCTGCTCGATGATCAGCCGGTATCAGGCGTAGGATGGGCTATAGGCGTACCAGTGCTCAATCTGTCCGTTTCGTACTCACTACCCAATACTTCGTGGCGGAGAAGAGTACGTGCTACTCACGTCATCTTCGAAGCCGTACTTCGTGTGGGCCGGGTCCGCCCCCCATGCTAGCAGTTTGGAGGACGAGTGAGTCTCGCTTGTCAGACCGGAGAGGGGAAGGTGTAGGAGCTTGGGTCGTACCTCCGTCAAACTTGAGGCCAGAAGCGACCACCTCCTTCCTGGTCTTCGCAGCGTCCACAGCTATCACTCTGGCTTCCGGGAACTCCTTCTTGTATTCAGCTGGTACGTGATATGTCGTAGCAGGGGTAAGCATGGAAGTGGACCATCGTCCTTCGGGTGAACGCACGGAGAAACAAGTGGTGGTACATATCCGCACCGACGATCCACCTGCGATGAGTCACTAAACATAATTGTAGCTTGGGTGGAAAGCCATATAGATATTGTACCTGACTGGGCCCAGTTCCTTGATCTTCGCCTTCGTAGGGTTATTGAGCGGTGTGGATGCGAGGACCCAGACGTCTCCGTTACGAAGTATGATCGCTGTAGACCTTCCTCCGACGGGGAAGAGGTTCATCACCGAGAAGGGGCTGCGAGCCAGATACCGAGTTCTGCTGAACAACGACATGGGGTATTCAGTACGTACCATGAGAACGTCCAGACGTCCTTTGTGACCTGGAGGGAGATGCACGACAGATCGATAAGCCATTTCTGATGTGGAGTAAGGGCACGGACTGACCTCGCGGATGACACAGTGGGAGGCACGCATTAGTGCTGGTGTCGCTCCGTCTTCACAGGATAATATGTTGCTGATTCACCCGAGCTCGGAGAGCGGGATAGGTACATGCACGTCAGGCACTGAGAGTTGAGGGCGACACGTGTCGAATTTGAAAGAATTGTGGGTCCAATATTAACGTGAGGTTCATCATGCGCCCAGGAGAATTCTCGCCGCCCACGGGCTCGGTTACATGCTGAATTTGAACAAAGGTTAGACTGCAAAAATATGAGGGTACTCCCAAGATACAGTATGTGTGAGCTAGAATGCAGTATTCACGTACAAGGCCGGCAAGACAGGACGACTGTAGCCGCTGGATGCAGCGGCCATCAAGCCACGCCTCAGTGCAGAACCTGCGCTTTTGCCAACCGCTTCGCTTCCCGAGCGGCCGGCGCGATACCAGTGTAACCCACCTATTCGTTGAGCAACCGGCTCAAAAGCACAAATGATTCGAACCCCTCCGTCAATGTTTGCTTCGCATGCATCTACCGGGCACTGGTGGCGGTTGTCTATGAGGTTCGAATGTTGCTATAAGGAAGAGGATCTGGCTAATGATCGTAGAGCCATATTGTACCAAGTCAAGAAGGTCAGCCGACGGAAGCACGAGGGAGTGCAGCATGAGATATGATTTGATTATTTACGTCCTTACATCCATTGAGAGACAACGAACCGAAGCAGGTCGGAGAGTATTCGGGAAAGGCGTCTAGCATACCCAATCTGGAATGTCGTCAACTTTTGATGGACAGCTGTTCGGCGCTTGGGCACGATCTTGTCTACGTACCACCACCGGCCTTGGACTCGGGGTGAGCCTGTGAGGTGTAGGTCGATGCTGACGCTCTCTCGCGTATACCCACAGATACTGGAACAGTTACGCAGCATTGCCTCTCCGCCCTGGCCAAGACGTTCATTCCACCCCTCGTCATGTCGCCACCTTCGCTTCTCTGGAGCTGTTCCCGATGATCTCGGAGGTGCCGCGCATCTTGGACACCCTTCCTTCGACCAGGATATGTACATCTCCGGCGTAGTTCATACCCTGCGTCCAGAACGGATCACCTCAGCGGATGTCATTCACGTGCCGCAACCGACGCATAGGATTCGCGTCCTCTTCAATCCCCCGGGAGTCGACAGAAATACTGGGCTTCCCCATGTCGGGCCGCCTCCCCTCTCCCACATGTTCCGGACTCCCAGCATCATCCGCCACCATTCCATTACTCTACGCGCATCGTTGTCCAACAAATCAGTCGGCTTTCCATCTGGCTGGGGTTGTTTGTACTGGTGGACACCCCCCAGTGGCAAGACAGCCGACGGCGAAATCCGTTACCGCACTATCTCTTCCATTGCAAGCGATCCGAGGGTTTGGAGCGACGAGGCTATTCGCGACAGCTTCCAGCGATCTGAGGATTTCCGCGTGAACCGCAAGACCCCGTGGAGCTCAGATCTCTTCGGCAGAGTCATGCAGAGATTGGGGTACGCCGATGGGATAGTTACTAGGACGGTTCTTTCTCCAGTCCTGTCCGAAAAGTTTGCCGAGCGATATATGGAGCGGCGTCGCGTGCAAGCGATCCGAGATTCTTCGCTGGCGGAGGTGCACAGATTCCCCTCTGTCAGACACGACAGTATCCTTCCCCAACTCGATCAGTTCGACATTCGGGACCACGAACAGGATGCGATCCGAGCGGCCCTAAATGACACGACGCCCGTACGGGTTTACAGCGACGGTGCAGTGCACAATTCACTGTGGACGGGCGCAGCGGCAGTGCTGGTTCGCACAGACGGAGGCACCCCAGAACCCCAACTCAAGAGCCGGCGCATTCACCTCGGCAAGATGCCCCCATTCCCGTACAATATCCACGATGCGGAGGTCGTCGGCCTAGGTGTCGCACTCTGGCTCGCAGCTCAGGAGGAGCGCCTTGACCGAGTGTCGATATACGCGGACAGCCGGCTCGCTCTGTGCGCAGTACGCTTGTCCGCCGCCAAGCCAGGACAGTGGCGGATGCCTGACTTCGTTCTCGCACGTTACGATCTCCTAATGCGCCGCCATCCTCAAGCGAAGGTGACCTTCCGATGGGTCCCTAGTCACGTCGGCGTCGAGGGCAACGAGATGGCGGACGACCTCGCGGGGGAGGCGGCCGTGCCTCCCAAGGAACCATAAAGGGACGGCTTTTCCGCTAGGCAGAGCCGATGCGAGGGCGTTGTTCTTCGTGGGAAGTCTGTCTTGGCAGCGTTTCGCGGCCAGGATGGCACGTGTCCGACGTTCGTCTTCCTTCCGTGTTTCCCTTGTATGCGCAATCCGGTGTACTATACGAACTCGTACAATTGAGACATCACTCTTTACACTGGTGAGCCGCGCTTTCATAGCCCGAAAGCCTGATGTTAACCTCCACGATAGTTGTCGCATCATGTATCACATATCTAGGTCGATTGGAGTATTGGCTCCCATCGGCATAAGAGGCACACGGGGCGGCGTGCCACATGTTACACAGCACATTTCCATCCGTAGGGATGACTGTTTACCCAGACGAGTCTACTCCTCCACGCCTCAGAACTCAGAGGCCGGATTCGATGATCATGCTGATCTCCAAACCACTGCGGACATGGCACCCGATGGGAACTCACCGTGTGCTCTGACAACACCGTCATGATTTACGCGTGCCGCAGTTTCACCCTTGCGCTCCTCACATGCGAGCGAGCGCGCCCAAGATCAAACTCTCTTCACCGTCCGTACTCTCCGTCCTGAGCTAGTCACAGGCGACGACCTCATCACGCTTCCACCGAAGAGTTCGAACACTCTCTTCGCTCCTAGCCTCTCTCTCGAGTCGGACGCTGGGCTTGACCCTGATTTCCTAGGACTCGCGACCCCCGATTCCCGCCCTGGAAAGGAGAAGCGCGGCTTTCTGTACTACTCGCCTCCTCCTGATGGACACCCGCCTTTCGCAGGCGAGCTCCGCTTTCGTCTCATACCGAACGGACAGAGTCCTGGCTCGATCGTACGCGGGGCCGAGAGCGAGCAGTCAGGGTCTTCGCTATTCGAATCATCACCAGACTATCAACTCCACCCCATTTACCATTGGCGTTTACCGCTTCTCGCCATCGCTTGGAATCCCGTATACGACCCCCTCCGCACGCTACTCTTGTGAGACGGCCTCGTCAGCGAAAAGGTAATGAAGTGGGCAGCGGGCGCCGGGGCCAACAACAAGACCCAGAGGACAAGCGCCATCATCCATTCGCTCGAGCAGCCGTTCGTCTGGAATGCGGGCTGGAACGGGACGGAGGCTGTGTCCGCGCACATCTTCTTCGTACGCAAGCGCACGGGGTATGTGCTAGGCGAACAGTGTCGCCTGAGCCCATCCGGAGTGACGTTGGGTATGTATGTCCCGAGTGGTGGAGAGGTGGAAGGCTGGAGGCCGATATTCGGTACGTGCGCAATTTCCTGAGCGTGGAGTGCGGAGCCTTCACTATCGTCGAGAATCTCTTATCGTTAAGATCCTTTGATCGCTGACTTGTCATCTATGCATAGGCAAGATCGTATGTTCCTTGGTCCTCTCGCCGTTCAGGATGCACGCACATGATTCCCCGAGGCTGTTGGTACGGGTGCTTGGTATCCTTAGTCCAAGCGCTCGCATGTCGTTGTTGGCCCAAGGAAGCTGGCTGTGGTGGTTCAAGCACGATGTGGAGTACACACACATGGGTTGGTATGCGGACTTGTGCTTTCTGAGGGCGGTAGACGTGCCGCAGGACTCCAAGATCTGGAGCATTTTGTTGGATAACGAGCACGAAACCATGGGAGGGTGAGGAATACCAGTTGGTTTTCATGGCTTACGATGCAGGGCTGTGGTGGCATACGGCCGCAAAGCGGGGATCTCCCTGTTCCCCGGTTGAACAACCGCGCCCATTCTTCAAATGGGTGGGGTAGTCCTGTCCTTGCGTTCCGCTGCATTCTCGTACCGAGCGTGATCACGGGTCTACGAGACCTGACTTCGCGCAGAGGCACGCCACCATTACCTTGCCACGTCCCCGTTGATTTATCCTGCATCTGTTCCGCGCGACATGACCCCGAAATTGGCCTACCGACATTCGCCTCTAAGAAAGCTTCGGTTACCGCCGACAATTACCCGCGAGCCCGCCATCGTCGTCGTGGCGCGCTTCGGAACGTCATCACAACGCTAGCGATTGCCCGAAGAAGAGCCTCATGCTCGGTGCGACGTGACAGCTCTTGCGAGAGGGCGAGTATAAGGGGCCGGCCTCGCGTGCAACTGTGTCGACGTTCATTCCGGCCTTCAAGACATAGTGATGGTATCTTCAACGTTCTCCTTCCTCAGAGCGCTTCTCTTTGTCGCTAGCGCTGCAGCCCAGTCCACTGCGCCTCAGTACGGCCAGGTATTCCAACAGTCACATGACTGCACGCGTTCGGGTGCTAACTTAAGACAGTGCGGGGGTCAAGGTTGGACCGGTGCCACGGTATGCCCGTCCGGGTGGACGTGCACATTCTCCAATTCGTACTATAGCCAGTGTCTCCCTGGTGGCTCTGGAAGCTCATCTGGAAGCCCAGTGCCGACGACGACTACGGTCCCAAGCACGAGCGGCGGTAGCTCCCCCACTTCGACGAGCACCTCCCCTAGTGGTACCGTCACTCTCATTCCTGGCTACTCCTTCATTCGTGCGGTCGTAAGTCGACACTTCTCCGCACCGCATGCATGACATGTTTCCTCATCTATACATGCGTTCCCAGGAGGACCCCAACTTCCATCAATACCTTCGTTCTGAGGTCCAGAACACAGCTTCGGATGCCGTCCTCGGCGACCCCTCCACTGCTGCCCAATTCCAGATAACCTCCGATGGCCAACTCATTCAAATCCTCCCCGACGGGAGCAACCTCTACGCCGCGGTCGAGGCGCGCGCGAACTCTACTGTCATGAAGCTCAAAATGTTGTGGCAGACGACGCCCGCGAGCGGTGACAACGCTGGCACGTTCATGTGGAGCGGAGACACCGTCGAGTGGTCAATTCCGACTATCTCGCGGCCGCAATTGAACGTGCGTTCTCTTTCATTCCCCTCTGCAAAAGATGCAACCTCTGAATGGATGTTCAATTCGCTGCTTCAGGCGTGGCTTGTCTGTCCTGACGACGCTGGCAACAAGGACGTGTACGTGAACCTTGGTCCCTACGACTACGACACGCCGGCTGGATGCGCGGACGAGACCATCCACGCCTACACCGGACCTTATGCGACTGCCTAGTGGGCTCAAAATTGAAGCTATATATACATTGATGTATACTGCATAGTGTCGGTTGAAAATCCAAGCACCGCGTTTCTCTATACTCAGTGTTTGCATAAGCAAAGACGATCTCACCGGATGCAATTCCTCAAGCTTCAAGCTGTGGAATTCCGGAGTCTGCTCGCGGCACGTTAGCGCCCGTACGTTCTGCTACTCTCATCATCGTCGTCGTTCCCTCTGTGTCTTTCGCGCAGCTTGACACAATGTTCGTGTCTGCGAAGACGACACCCGATTGCCTGTGTACTCAACACCCGATTGCCTGTGTACTCAACACCCGATTGCCTGTGTACTCAACACCCGATTGCCTGTGTACTCAACACCCGATTGCCTGTGTACTCAACGAGTATACGATACTAGGGTTCTACGTTTGGCGCGCCTGCTTGTGGCCCACAAGAAGAGCTAGTCCTGCAAGGTGGTATCACTGCCCCCAGAGCTGCTGTCACCCTGTCCTCTGTCCATCCGGACTAATCGATGAAGGGACATAGTATAGGATGTGATCGTGGCCTGAAAGATTGCCACCGAGTGCTTACCAGCAAGAGTTGTGCAGGAGTCGTGCACATACATTGAGAAGCCCTGAAACCAATTTACTGCACACTTTTCCGTTGGTTGTCCCCTCCCGCGCCGAACCTCTGGCAGCTGCTAGACCAATGGCCAGCAGAGCGGACTCCGGTCATGACTCCCACGGTGCTGTCGTCTTCTCTTCTCCCGCGACTCTACACGCTGACGGGCAGCCGTGTCATCTGCCCGTGCTCCACCCCAATACCACTCTTTCAGGATACTACCGTCCGGTTTCCCCTCTCGTCGATTGTGTTTAGGTGGATCGTCGATGCCCGCTTGGACACATGCCAACGATTTGACAAGTTGTGCTTCCCGCGAAGTTTATCGGACAGGTTAGAACGCACGAAGAAGCCTAATTAAAATTCAGTACTCAGCGCAAGCGACCCTCTGTGGGACTCGAGCGACGTAACCCCTATATTGACGGCATGTTGCCCTGATGATCAGCGCCCCTATTTCATTGCAGTACATTTCAACCATCTGCATCGCACTCAGCGAGTTACAGTGAAATTTAGCTCAGGCGCCTGCGGCTGCCGTTGTGCCGCAGAAACGTGTTGCGGAAAGTATGGCTGCTATCTATGCAGAGGGCCCCCCTAGAAGAGTATCGCAAGCAGTAGAGAAAACTGTCCGAGAACCAGACCAGACCTTCCTCGGACGCCGCGACTGGCTCAAGAAGTTCTCCTGATCCTGACATGGTAAGTGGAATGCCTCCGTTGTAGCCAGAAGGCGGTGCTAACGAGAAGGGCCATTTTCTAGACCCCTCGCACGCGCCTAGTCCTCCCCTTCAGTCCTGCTGGGAGAGGAAGCCCCAAGCGTGTCTGCTTCCCCTCCCCAGCTGCTTGGACCGCCTTCGCATGATAGACTTTTGCTCGAAGGTGGAAAAGGCTGGCCTTCTTGCCTTCTCCTAACTCGGTCCTTCCCAGGCCATTCCATCTCCTCAATCCCCTTCCATTCATTAGCTATTCTACAGCACTTTCCACACCCTACTTCCTTCCCAGTCCGCAGCTCTCGTGGGTTCCCGGTAATGTTGGCTGGGCTCTTTGTGGCGTTGGGTGTACGAGGTCGCGAAGAAGGGTATCTCGATCCGGCATGAACGAAAACGTGAGTGGCAATGACGCTCTCTCCCCAGTCGTTCAACCTTCACCACCTTGGTTTCACATGGGAAGAGGACTGTGTGTACATTGACACGCAGAGTATTGATCAGGCTTGATGACAGTCTGAGAGAGAGCTCGAGAACATACGTTACGATCGGACTCGGAAGTCGGAAGTCGGGTTAGGAACATGCCGAAACCCGAAACTAGGAATGTGGGATGGAAATCATGTGGGGAATTTCCAAGGCTGTTGCATATAGAACTCTACGGACATCGACGGGAGGCCGCAAGGGCCAGACTACCCTCATAACGTTATAATATCAATATACAGACATGCGATGCGGGGCCAGTTCACGAAGATCATGGGACTCGGTCTAGACGAGAAGACGAGAACAAGAGCAAGTTACAGACGGCGTTTCCTCACAAGTGGGAAACGGATGAATCCACTTCGAGGTTTCGAACGGAGACATGGAAACTGACAGCGTGCCTGCAGCGCTGCCATCAGATGCGTAGACACAGACCAGCGCTGTCGTCTGCAGAGGATACCACAACAGAGATCTACCATTAGGGTCAGAGTAGAGCATCTACCCAGGCGGAGTCTAATGGTAGCAAGTAGCAACATACCGGCCGGGAATCCTGGTCCCTGCACAGTCCCATCAAAGATCGCTCCCATTTTCTGCCTTAGGTTTTCCGTGCGTCGCCGCAGGTCGCAGGACAGCTTGACCCTTCTTATTGCGATAGAATAAGACGTCGCCTATAAAGCACCGGCGCAATGGGTGGGCGCGAAGTCGGTTAGCATGGGGCTGCAGATTTAGAGGCACGAAGGTGAGGTTCGAGGAAGGGGGAAGACGCACCTGTGTCTTCGACGAATTGGCAGTCGTTATAGTTATCCCACAGTGCCTTGAAGACGGGCTTATCCGAGCGATGATAGTGTTCACCAATGAACGACCTCAGATACTGGGTGGCCTCTTCGCCGTGGTCTGCAATTACCAAGTCCAGTTAGTCCAGATACACGCGCTGCGGTTCGGAGTCAAAAAGAAGAGAGTTGAAGAGAGAGAAGGCACCCGCGGGGTTACGAAACAAGCGATACAGAAAAATTAGGACTGACAGAATGGCATCTTTGGGAAAAAATGGTGGACGACATGGTAGTGGGCCACGTCGTGTAGGAAGAATCGGCCCATCCAGCCCAGGAAATCACGGTCCACTGTTGCGGCAGCCCCCCGCTGAAAGTTCCATTCCGGTTGGCGATAGTGCGGCAGCTCAGGATCCGTGTGGTGCAGGTACGTGATCATGACGAACCTGAATCCCCCACGTCCACGATTGTACCATATGTCGCATCGTCGCCCACAAAGGTGTCGTAAGGCGTCCAGTGAAGGGTCAGATGTAAGACGCAGAACCAGGAGAATATCGACGAGCGGGATCGTTGACAAAGCGAGGTGCGTGGGGATCACAAGTTGTGAGCGTGATAAGAGATCGAGTCTAATCAAGGACGGGACAGACAGTATGCTTACCAGTGAGTAACGCATAGCCATGGTATGCCGTAAAACTTCACCACGGACGCTGCGCCCCAAGTGATGCTAGCAAGCCGGACGAGAGCGATCATGCCTAGAATGCCGATGTTGGAGATGATGACGGCATGACGTTGCTCCTCCGTGAATAGGATGGAATTTGCTACAGGATGAGCAAGGGCGTCAGCATGATATGTGTCGACGTAGGGGTCTGACGATCGAGAACTGAGGGGAAGACCTTACTCACGATCGAAGTGATTCGTCCACCTTGGGTAGTTCTTCTGACCAGAGACATTGGTCACTGTGAACTACATCAGCCCTGCTGGTTCAGTAACGCAGGATGCACATGATGGACTCACAGAGGTAAGCAGGGAACGCCAATAGCTGTTGCCGAACGAGCATGTACAGTGTATAAATAGGTGTGTCTCCGAAGTATTCGTCGTAGTCGATCTTGCCGTCGTCGCTCTCCTGGGGGATGCCGAGATCGCTCCGTGTTTTCGGAACGTACACTTCGTCTCTCTCCATGGAGGCATGGTTACAATGGTGACGATGATGAGAAATTTTCCAGCTGAAGTAGGGCGTCCACAACGCTGTATGGACAACCTAGGGCCTCATGACATGTTAGCCGCCGCGACTAGTCCTTTCTGAGACAAAAACATGCGATGGGACTTACGAAACCAATCAGGTCACAGACATATCGGTTCGCGGAGAAAGCGCCGTGGCCGCACTGAATAACGAATGCCAGTGTAAGTGACAGCTTTACGCGGAACTCTGCTTGGCGAACCTCATGACCGATGACCCAAACCCCGGTGAAAATCAGCCCCTGGAACCACCAACTGCAAATGGCATCAGACCAACGTCTCGACAACTTGTTTCCGTACTCACTACACAATCCAGCAGCCCCAACGGGCGACGATGGCGCCCGTTGGAGTCAAGAGCTGGACTGCTGTCCGACTCCTGAAAATAGGATCGATGTGCACGGCGAGCTTCCAGCAGACCGCTGCCATAAGCAAATCGAGGGCGAGCCATGCCGAGCCTCTCCGAGTATCGCGGACGAACAAGCGTGACGGTATCGCCTCGCGTATCTCCTGTAGTTTCCTGTCCAAATCATGGCATTAGAAACAGGTAGTCTCGATACTTTTGGATAAACATCATTCATACCATGACATAGGCGTGAATTCGGGCAGGTCGTCTTCGAGAGATTGTCGTGACATCTTGGCTTCTGTGTCCACGGGATCAGACACTATTGACATCATGTTGCTGTCCAGAGTCGATGTGCAGCGATTGAAGGAGACCAGCGAAGTATGTGCTAAGGTGAGGAAGGTGGGGGGATAGTAGGGCTTCGTCCCCTGGTCAGCGGCGAATTTATATATCTTAGCAATGGCGAGATTGCCGGCCCTGCGCATCCCCAACTGTCGCTCAATGAAAGGTTCTCAAACAAAGATGATTTGCACGTGTGCGGCTGGGAGAGACAACGCTGGCGCTGTTTGGCGGCAATCGCACTGCTGTGCGCGCCTGGTGCAAGATTGCAAGATCAATCTCGCGAGGCGGCCGTTGAAGGGAGAGAGCCTCGCATCCGGCCGGGAAAGCTTGCCAAGGGAAAACAAGGGCAGGCTGCAACCGACCTACCGTGGAAATAGCCGACTGTTACGAGAGATTTGTTGCTGAGCTTGGGCGAATCTGCCATGTCACACTGTTTGGGAATATTCCCAGCAACGCATGACCCCTGGCTCCCATGCGCTTCTTTTTGATATGCATGACAGCGTTCCTCCGAAGCAGATGCCCAGATCCCGAAAGAATGAACATTCTGAATACGACGGCAGAAGCAGCCATATTCGGGCACGTGGCGAACCTAGATTACTCACAGCTCATGGCACGTCGCACTTTGACTGCGCACCCCTATCAGATCAGCCTCAATGCACTGGACAAGTGTCGACACCCTTACCGCGGGGGACTCAGCGTCGAGTCTTGCGGGAACGCTCGCAGTAGCGCCCGCATGGAGTGAGTGAGACTGCTCGCCCCTCTCAGGGCGGAACTGCTCCCGAATGAGAGGCATGCGTCCCGCCAAAATGATGCTACGCCTCCAACGGTCGAGGAACGGAAGGGGAGGATCCGCACAGGCCGGGTTTCCACTTCCGTCGCTTACTCGGGCAAGAATGGTGGAATGGCGGTCGTAAAGCTCGATTTGGGAGATGCCTGCGGCGTCTGCGTTGAGATTAACTCTAGGCGTGGTGGCCGCAAGGCTCTGCGTAATTGCGCCTTCAGCGTCATCTATTCTCCCTGGAAGAAGCAATGCGCGTACCATTTGCTTTAGCCACTCATCTCCGTTTAGCTCGGAGCTTCCGAGCGCTTCTTGTCGTACTTCCATGTTACACGAGAGTGCGGAGATGTGGGACACAATGCTTGCCTTGCATTCAAGCTACCATCCAGTGAACAGCTTGGACTCCTCAGTGCCGCTCACAATGAGCTCGGACTGCTCCCGAGATAACACTCTAAACCCAACGTCATCCCGCCCTTCCTGGTGGACAAAATCGGTTCCGAGTCTGATAACGCTTGGCTTCTGCCTTGCCCGTAAACTATACTACCGTAACAGAGCATTTGGGCTGTCAGATTAAAAGATGATCCCTTAGTGGAGAGCGCTTACGTCGAGGAGAGCGGCGAGGTACTGTTCCACTGGCTTCACATACCAGCGTCCAATGCGACCATCTTGAGTATGCTCAAACCAACCCAGGTGGCCCCCTGTCTTGGTGACAGCGAGGACAAGGTACGGGCTGTGCGAAACCTCCGCAAACACTGACATCAATACACGCGTATATGACAGAAGAAGGGGTCGGAACAGAGCCTAAAACGACGCTTACCTGACTGATGGGTAGGCTCTGAGTACCAGTGATTGGATCATCTATGCTATTGATTGAGAGGCACGGTATCCTGATGTCCGGAGCCACCTTGCAGGAGCTGATCTTGCTATAGTAGTCATACGGATTCATGAATCCGTACATCGGCGCCGTGATGAGCTCGTCGTATTGTCTGAGCGTTATGGATCGACGCCGCAGCACGTCGTCAAGCACGCTGCGGGAGACCGGAAGCTTGGATGCCTTGAGGAAGACGCCTTGGTGGAGGCGAAGTAGGGCGCGCAGCGCCCCGCCCAGCACGTACCGGTAGACGTGGCGTCCGAGAAAGGTGCTCGGGAGATGATGACTTCCTTCGAGGAAGTCCCATGGATTGGCAAGGGTGACAAGACCCAGCAAGGGGCACTGTTCGCCCTCTTCTCCGACGTACTTCGCAAGGATGTTCGCACCGAGGGAGAACCCTGCAATCCTGAGAGTGAGCGAAACTGATGGCAGAAGGTGATCCCGTACACCGACGGACCTAGACCGTACATCCTGCAGCTTGGGAATGAAGTGGATATCCAGAGCACAACGTGCCTGAGGTCGTCTGACGAGCCGGCCTTCGGAATGCGATAACATCAGTTCCTTGAATTGCCGGAACCCGCTCAGGAGAAGCGTCAAGACGGGAGCTTACATGATACAGTCGCGGAGTGACGACAGGGCTCCCATTGCACCCACGAAAGTTCAAGACGACCGCGCGGAAGCCGAGGCCACCAGATTGCCTACTAGGCGTCACCTTCGCAAGGACTGCCCGGACGTAAGCTTCGTGTGATCCACCTGTAAGCCCGTGGGTGACAAGCAGTACGTTCTCAGCATCCTGTATCGGATGGCTAGAGAGCGGCGGGGTGACGTCGACCGCAACAACGCCTATCGGGATTTGGTGAGTCATCGGACACCGTTCGTCAGCACCTTTCGCACCTTTGTCGGGAAGCTCCAAGAACAGCCTGAAACAGATCAAGGTTGAGCATGCTCCAATGCTTCGTGAAGGTAAGACAAATTGTCACAAGGCCAGCGCTACACAGCAGTGACCCCTTGCATCTTTCCGGCGGGGCAACTGTAATTGAGGTGCAACGCGCTCTGAGCACGGCGGCGTCCGTGAACGCAAGGCAGTGTGTGTACGCATGCGAAAGCTCCCGGTGGGACCCACCTCTCATATACTACCGGATCTACCTTGGAAAAATCTCCAAAGGAGGAGTATGCTGTTTGCGCGTCTCCGCTATAATGACATGACATGTTATAATGGTATGCTTCGATGTGAGCACTCGTGTTTATGGGGAGACAGCGCGAATGCATACCCCGGCAACCACCAAACGCCATTGAATTTAGAGTTTGGTCCGAGGGCCGGAACCTTGTCCCTTACAAGCCGCGCAAGAGACAGAGCGGGTCCACTGGTTTGGTTGTCCTTCTGAAGAATGGCCGGGTGCTGTGCCACATGCAGAGTAGCGAACGGGCCATCGCGTCCTGTGTTCCGGCGCCAAATGCCACGTATCATGTAGACAATGCCTACAAATCCCACCCCAAGCAGCAAGGTGAATGCTACAATGTGTGTCTGTTAGAATGTATTCTATGACATGCCGAAGGAAATCTCACGTACCCATATGTAGCCAGCTGAGGGAGCAATGTCTTTAGACTTGGTAGAGTGTGCTGTCACGACCCGAGATGGGAGTGAGAGGAAAAGAACAGAGTTTGACCAAAGCAGGCAGGTTGATTGCAAAGCAAATCTAAGCATTCATGTTCTTGAATGGCACTCGTGAGAAGATGATCGTTCACACGATGGAGGACGAGAAGTACCACCAACTGGTCTGCACCCGCGAACATAAGCTATGCTAGCATCCTGGGCGTCTATAACTCCATAATTGGCCAAAGCTGGGCACTGCATGTATGTTGAGGTTTCGGCATAGCCAGGCATCGCTTGTTTCCCGAGAATCATGGTGCTCGCTTCAAATCACGCTCGGCGATGAAGGGCAGTAGGGTCTCTTTTCAGCCGCATATGTTCTCGTATTTGCCCTGGATAGGTTGAAGATCGAGGTGACGTCAGAAAACCTCTGACAGGAAACTAGTATTGGATAGACACAACGATAGTTCAGCGCAAACACTGGTTTATTCAGCAACACAGTATGAGTTTCTCAACCTCGGTGAACACCAGAGTAGTAGACTAGGACGTCTCATGCAGCTTGGTCAAAGACGCCATCCCGATGATGTACTCCTTCACTGGGTTTGACGTCTACTAATGAAACTACTCGACATAGTCAACATCCTATACAGCCTGAATATGAACACCGAGATCGCCTCCACAGCGTAGTGTTAACTCGTACCTGGAAGACTCCCTGTCATTAGCTACGCCGGCTGACAAATATTGCTGATTTAGCATCGAGGAGTCTCTGGACACATCTTGGAGATGTAGAACGTCGGTATTCGCTCCACTATGAAGCCCTTTTCAAGTGTCCACATACAACCTGATGATACTTTCTCTACAGACTTCCTGCACAGTTAGCCGCCGATGTCTCCGAACGCGGCGCTGCTTGAAGACAATACTATAACCGATCTAGGAAACATGAACAGTGAGACGACTTCAATTGTCTTGGCAAGCACCTTGTCGTTCTGACTTTTAGAACGTTGCGTCTTCTAGGAACAAGATGGTGAACACTCTCACGCCTTTGTCTATGATCCAACAAAGTACAAGAAACTCGTTTCACTACCAGCACGTCATGCAACCCGGGAAAGGGATAGCCTACGACACGAGGCCGGCCAATAGTTGATTGGTTCCTTGGATACTATAAACCGAGATCTGCCCTACAAGGCCAGAAATTCAGGTACCTCCGGAGATCATGCTGCTCTACTCTTGATTGCAACTGGTCTAGCTATGGCAATGCGATGGGCGATGCAAGAGTTTAGTATAGGCCGTAGCTCGCGCTGTTAGAAAGAGAAACAGCAGACGGCCATGATGGGAGAGTAAGTTCGTTCGGCTGTTCACAACATCCAGAGGAGCTGATTCTGTTATCGGTAACGGGCATCATGCTGTGGCATACTCGGCCCTCAAATACTCAATGATAGTTGTCGATATGTTTTTCGATTCAAGTGGTCGCCGGGTCCTTTGAGACGTGACGTCCACGGTCCTACGAACGTAGCATTACATGCTCGAAGGGGTCATATCAAGAGGTCATAGGATAAGTACACTTACTAGAAAGTGCGCCTGTGAGAGTGGCCATCTGGCTTTCAATTCCAATCAGTGTCTCCTGAAAAGAGAGGGGCAGCAACTTTAAGTCATCAGCAGGTCTCCCTCCAAGATATAGACGGTCCTATCTAGCCAAGCGTTCATGCTGTGAAGACGAAGAAAGACAAGGAGTGCGGCTCAACGAATTTTGGCCTTACGGCTCGTTCACGGCCGGCAAGGACGGACCGCCGGATCCACGATGCCGTGGTGTGGCAGAAGCGCCCGACACCCACGCAAGCGCTTGTTGCCCTCATCAGCGAGCACAGATAGCCTTCAACGAAAACCAGGGTCCCCACGATAAGTTCGATCTTCCAGGCCCGTTATCTCGTACACATGAGACGATATAAGACGTCCACGCCACAGAACGGGAGGACGTGCACCCTGCTCGCTGCCGTAAGTAATCGAACCAGGGTGGAAACTCGGACCAAAATGGCTTTCTTCGAGTCCCTGTCCCGCCCAGTCGCCGCCCTCCTCCTCGTATCGCCATTCTCCCACATTCTGGCTCAGGGCGCTGGGAACGTCGAGTACCCCGTGGGCATAGCAAACATCGCCGCGTACGGAACAATCAACTTCACCGAGATCTTCGCGGCATACGGGCACGACAAGTCGAACGTCGCGTTCGGGACTTCGGCGTACAACGGCCTCACGACGTTCGCGAACACCTTGCCTGTGCGATGCTTTGGCGCGGACGCGACGACGAAGTACGACGTGGCGGTTCTGGGGGCGCCTTTCGACACTGCGACGAGCTACCGGCCTGGGTGGGTGGTTTGTTTGCGAGCGTTACAGATGAGGTATATGCGCACTGATGCTTCCCGCCAGGGCACGATTCGGCCCGAACGGCATCCGTCAGGGCTCCAGACGGATTAGCTTGCAAAACATCAACGTAGCCACGCGCATCCGCATCAGCGACGAGCTCGACGTCGTCGATTGCGGGGACGTCCGTAAGTGCTCCATGTATGCGTGCATGCGCCACGAATCACTCACGTTCGCCGTACCCAGCGATGGTCAAGACCGACAACAAGGTCGCGCTGCGCCAACTCGAGCTCGCGAACGCCGCCTTGCTGTCCCGGACCAGCCTGCGCACATACGAGGGGAAGAGTTTCGCGAAGGACGGCAAGTTCCACCCCCGGGTGCTGACCCTGGGCGGAGACCATACGATCACGCTCCCCCTCCTCCGCGGGGTCGCGAGCATCTATGGGCCGGTCAGCGTGATCCATTTCGACAGCCACCTCGGTAGGCTTTGCCCGCGCCTCGTGCACGCTCCTTCATCTGCTGACTGTCGCACTGCCAAGACACTTCGAGGCCAAGAAAGCTGGCGGTACGCGTCGAATTCCGTGCGCTCCGTCCGCCCTGCCACCGGTTACTGATTCTGGCGTGCCGATAGGGCGGCCCATGGCTTCCGGACGAGGAGGTCCCCGTCGGACACGGGAGCTACTTCTACTACGCGCACCGAGAGGGCCTCTTGGCATCCGACAACGCAAACATCGTGCGTCTCTCTCTCTCGTAACGCTTCCATCTCCGTCCCCCCCCTTCTTCCCCAGCCCTGGCTCCGTGATCGCACGTCGCGGATTATGGTATGTGGCCTACTCACACTCACACTACGTGGGACGTCCGCCGCACAGCACGTCGGGATCCGCGCGCCCATAGACTCTTGGGAAAAGTACGCGGACGACCGCGCGTTCGGGTTCGTCATCTCGCACGCAGAGGACGTCGAGGAGGTCGGGTGGCAGGGCATCGTCAAGGCGATTAAGGACGCCGTCGGGGACAACCCTGTGTACAGTGCGCGATTCCACTCGTCGTCCGTCGTGCCTAGACAGGCATGTATGTATGCGTTACGTTTGCGCTCACGACGATTGGGACAGTCACGCTGGACATTGACGTGATCGACCCTGGGATGGCGCCTGCGTGAGTGACTATAGCGATCCATTACTGTTTGTGTGCTGTGTCGATCTCCGCGCCCTCTCGTTCTGCTGACGTGCGGTGCGCGGAGACGAGGGCCGTCGTGACGAGAGCTGACAAGAGCTGACGTATATTGGCCCCGCACGCCCTGGACGCGTACACACAAACCGAAACCGGAACCGAAATGCCAATTGCAGGACAGGAACGTGAGCGTCCCCCTCCGTCGCTGTCGGCGCGTGGACGTGGACTGAATAGAGCTGTGTTCTGATCGGCGAGACAGGCCTGAGATTGGGGGATTTACGACAAGGGTGCGTGCCTCGCCCTCCCCGTTTCCGTTTCTGGGGCGACGCGCACATAGCGCGGGTCGTCTGCGCGACGGAGGCTCACGATCCCACGCGGTGCACACAGGAGATCAAGAAGATCCTCCAGGGCCTCTCGGGCCTGAAGGTCGTCGGAGCCGACATCGTCGAGGTCGCGCCCGGTAAGCCCTGCTCTCTACCCGCTGCCGGTTCGTGGTTCTGGGAACGCTGAACAACTCTCTCATCGCCCCCCTTCCCTGGGTCATCCCTTGTAGGGTACGACAGCCAAGGTGAGCAGCCGCTGCCCGGTGCCAAGGGTGTTGTGGACGTGCGGCTCGTCCGAGGGTTGCTGGCTGCTGACGGCTTGTGCTGTGTTTGTGCGGTGCGCCTGTAGATGAGATCACGCAGATCGCCGCTGCGAATATCGGGCGGGAGATCCTGGGGCTGATGGCCAAGACGCCGTTGACGGAGTGAAGCCGGCGAGGGAAGCAGAAGAGGTGGATATGAGGACGGAGGGTGCTCGTGTCGCTTGGCGTTCGTCCTCCGGGCGCGCAATCACGGTTCAAATGTTCGGTCAACATCGAGCGAGTACCGGATGGCAGTTTCCAGCAATTCTTGTGCGGAGCCCTCCCGGTCTGTCTCAGCACGTCGGTTTGCTACGAAGAGGGAACAAGGCGGTGTGCGGGCGTGGCTGAGAAGGGCATACAGTCGAGTATCTCATAACGCATGAGGTCATGTTCAATAATGCATATCGCCCGGACGGGTACCAACCCAGCGCTTCACACTCGATAGGCCGTCTAGAGATAATGCATGATGTCCCATATTGCATACGGAAATGGGGGTGCGGGGGCATCGACCCTGTGCATTATGAGATAGTCGACTGCATATTACTTGTCTTACTTGAGCCGTGTCCACAAGGTGCATTTCGGAATAGCCAGGCCCGGCTTATGGAAGACTATGGTAGATGAAGCCTGGATACCTTTACTGTCCCGGGCCAGCATCACCCTGAGCTCCTTGTTGCCGCCAGGACGCAATCCTCCGGCCAAATGTGTGCTCTGTGTCTACAAGCAGTTTAAGTTGGGGGTCACCGTGGGCAAGGCGGAGGACACTCTGATGTTCGGAGTCAGCTTAGAGCACATATTTTCAAGTCGCGTTGCGTGCGGGATAATGCTTTGAACTCTGCCATGACTCGAGCCGATGGCTGCCGACCCGTGGCGAACCGGAATCGCGACGCGCTGAGTAAAGGGCACGTGCTACGCGACGCCCGTGGTGGGATTCCGGAATCGGCAAAAGCGGGCGGGATGAAAATCATCGGCCGGGGCTCTCGTCGCGCACACGCTTCTCAGCTGCCTCGCCACGGCCTCGCCACGGCCTCCTGCTGCTATCATCGTCCCTCTTCGTGCTCTATAAGTACAGGCTGCTATTGCAGGGTGAGTCCTCTCTGGCGATTTCCCGGCTGGTGTGGGAGACCGATCGGGCGGCAGGGCGGCCATCCGGAGCGCTTGGACCGGAATAGCTGGACGCTCTCTGTGCCTGTAGGACAGGTCGGTCTACTTTGGGAGTTCTCACCACCGCTGGGGTGCGATTCATCTGGGACCGACGAGGGCGTCACCACCAGTGACCAGTCTCGAACGTTCGTCGTCGTCGTCGTCGTCCACGTCTGCGAGCATCCAGCATTTGCGCTCTCAAGCCTCGACGCCTCAAGCTACGCTGCTCAGCCTGGGCCTCCAGGAAACCCACCGCCGTATCGTACCATATCACCAGCAGATATCGGAGTTCGAGGCCAAGAAGATGGCAAGTACGAGCGTGGACTACAGCGCGATCGCGGAAGAGGTGTATGCGTTCGCGGCGGGCACAGACCCGCTCGCGGGCCCGGTCAAGGAGGCGTTGGTCGTGATCGACGACGCGCTCGACACCTGGGGGTGCGTATCTCACTTCTACCCGGCTTCGGAGTCGAGGACCCCCTCGTCCCTCGTCCCTCGCTCGTGCCGCCGACAGCTGACGTCGGGTGCAGACAGGACCGCATCTCGCTGAGCTTCAACGGGGGCAAGGACTGTACGTCGCCCTCCCTTTCCGCTGCCTGGCTCCTCGTACGAGTTGCTCACGTCTCTCTGGCCGTCCGTCTGTCTATCTGCGCGCAGGCACCGTCCTCCTGCACCTCGTCGCGGCCGCCCTCGGCCGGCGCACGCCCGCGGCCGCGGCCCGCAAGCCCCTCGCCGCGGTGTACATCCCCGTGCCGTCGCCCTTCCCCGAGCTCGAGGCGTTCATCGCCGCCGCGGCGCGCGCGTACGCCCTCGCCCTCTTCCGCTGCGCGCCCCCCGCCGGTTCCGCGCTGCCCGTCGAGTCCGTCCCCACCCCCGGGGCGGCCGGGGCGCCGCCCGCGGAGCGCCCCGCGCACGTCAAGGGCGGGGAGGGCATGCGGCGGGCGCTCGAGATGTACAAGGCGCGCTTCCCGGCGGTGGAGGCGATCGTTATCGGGACGAGGAGGGGCGACCCGCATGGCGGTGAGTGGCTGCGTTTTGTTCGGGTTTTGGTGTGTGTGGTCGCTTGGGTGGATTGGGTGGATGCGCGCGTTGGTGCGGTCGTGCACGGGGTGGCTGAGGTACCCCTGGGAGGTGGACGGGGTGGATGGACGCGGACGGTGAATCGCCGTACGTGCGGTGCGGGCTTCTCTGCATGCGCTTGTGATGAACGCAGGGAACGGGGCGGGCGTCGGGGCGGGCGTGATTGCGTCGACGTTGCCCGTGCACGAGAGGACGCTGTCGACTGAGCCCGGCTCGTGCGTCGGACCGCGAACTGCGGCGCATCTGCTCGCGATCGTTGAATGCACCCGAGGTGAAGGGCGAGACACGCTTGTGCGCCCACCCTTCACGCAGCACACACACGCATGTCTTGGCTCCCCGATACCGAACGCTGACCGCGGGCCCTTCCTTCACCCGTGACAGCGAGGCTGGGTTTCCGGAACCCGACAGACGACGGCTGGCCGCGCTTCGTGCGCGTGAACCCGATCATCAACTGGGCCTACGCCGACGTCTGGGCGTACCTCAAGCGCTTCCGCATACCGTACTGCTCGCTCTACGACCAAGGGTGAGCAGCCTTCCTTCGCCTGTTTGCGGACACAGATACGGAGCACGCTGACGACGGCGGGCAGATACACTTCGCTCGGCTCGACCTACAACACGTTTCCGAACCCTGCCCTGCGCGCGTGCGGAGGGTGCACGTGCGGGCGCAGGGAGTCGTCTGGTCCTGCGTCGCGGGAGGACGCGCGCGCAAACGGAGCTGCGCTACAACCACAATCGCCTAGGGCGAACGGGCGCGCGGCCTCCCCTGCGCCCTCGTCGTCTTCGCCACCACAACTATCATCACCGCCATCATCATCATCATCATCATCATCATCATCATCATCGCAGCAGGCCTCGTCAACGACAAAGGCGCCGATCCCCACCCTCCCGGACCACTTCGTGATGCTCAACGGCAGCCCGGGCCTCATGTGCGTGGGGGAGGAGCACCCCTCCCCCACGGCAGCGGCGGTGGCGGGAACGGCGGCGACGCTCGCCCCGCTCCCGCACCGCGCGACGCTCACCGACGTCGTCGACCCGTCCGGCCTCGAGTGCGAGGGCGAGCCGTCCGCGCTCTCCCGCGCGGCGACGCCCCAGCCCCAGCCCCCGCCTCCGCCCGGACTCGACCACGACGGGACGCGGACGGGGGCGTTCGAGGTCCTCGTCAGGAATCCGGGCGAGACGTGCACGGGGGAGACGGCGGGCGGCGCTGCAGGGAGGCGGTTGAACGGGAACGGGAACTCGAATGGGAACTCGAATGGGAACAGGGCGGGGGGATGTACGTGCCAGGCGAAGCCGTACCGGCCTGCGTACGAGCTGCAGGACGGGAGCTTGGAGCGGGCGGGGCGGGGGAGCCCCGCGGTCGTCGTCGGGGGAGCTGGGGGTGCGACGTTGGACGGGCAGATGGGTGCCCTGTCGCTCAAGGCGTAGGCGTGAGGCTCGGAGGGGTGCGAGAGGCGGAAAGCCGAGAGCAGGGGCGGCAGTCGCTTGGCCTGGTCGGGCTCGGCTTTGTATCACTACTTGCTTGTGGGCGAGTGTAGGTGCGCTCGTGTGTGCGTCTGTTCTTGTGTAGACTGTGTTGTGTCGTATGTATATTGCTACAGACTGTATTTGGAGGACAATGTCATTCTTGGTCACTGCTCAGTAACGACGGGCTTTGCCCCGTGCGATTGCGCTCCTTTGCATCGCACACACGGAGCAATCGTATGCTAGTACGACAGTACATCACAGGAGGGTTCCGCATCGGAAGAATTGTTAGTTTGCGCTGGTGTCCCGATAACCTTGGGTCATCCTCCCTGTCGCCTACCACAACGTCTCACTCGTTGCCCGTGAGCGGGCCCGCATGTTGCAGCCGCTCACCCACAATCCATCTCGACCGCCTCCCGAGCTACAGCACGATTTTGTGACCTGGGATGCGGTCGACTCTACGATGACAGAGCCCGAGCCGCCAGAACACGACAAGGCGTGCGATCGAAGGCTGCGCCCTTCGGACTTCCTGCGTCACAGTAGTCGCACACACACCGAGCGTGCGATCTCACAGTCGCACACGCTCTCCCCGGCGCCCTCTCCGCACGAATAACAGCGGTCCCCTGCCCTTCTCCCCCCCCCGCCATCCCGCGCGGCCGCGTCACGTCTTCGTCCTGATCAGCCCCGCCATGAGGTCGAAGCTGTTCCCGTCCGGCTGCAGGTCCACGTGCTCCGCGCCCTGCCCCGCGGCGGACCACGCGTCGCGCTCGGGCAGCGTGCGCAGCAGGCCGTGCTCGGGCGTGATGCCCACGATGCGCACCTTGCGCGGCGGCGCCACCGTCGTCAGCGTCACCTGCTGGTCCCTGCGCGGCCGCCCCGCAAAAGATGCAAGTCAGCATACGCGACGCAACACAGAGTGCTCGGGAGAGGAGGAGGACGGAGGGAGGGAGGGTGGAGGAAGGGAGCGGGGAGCACGGGGAAAGAGGAGACGCACGAGTGCAGCCAGCGCTCGAGGTAGAGGTCCATGAAGGGCTCGAAGGAGCCGCGCTCGCGCACGAACTCGGCCCACATGCGCTCGAAGCGCGCCGTGATCGCCGCGAGGGTGCGCTCCATCGTCGGGGGCGGGGGCCGCCCGAGCCAGCGTCCGGGAGGAGCTGGGCGAGGGAGGTGATCGGGGGTGGGTTGAGGACGTTCAGGCCGCACCCTGCGGACAGGCAGCATGCACGCATGAACGTGTGAACGTCATGTTCATCCACGCACGATGGAAGGTGGGCGTGGAGGTGAGTGTGAGACGACGGGAGCGGAGGGCAGAGGACGCACCGACGACGAGCTCGACCTTGCCCGCGCCGAAGCTCGTGTTGACGAGTATCCCCCCGATCTTCTTCCGCTCGCCGTCGGGCGTGATCGCGTACAGGTCGTTCGGCCACTTGATGCGCACCCTCGACCCCGCCTCCTCGCCGAGCACACCATCCGTGCGGCACGCCTCGGCGACTGCGAGCGCGAAGAGGTACTGCACGAAGACGATCTTCGTCGCGGGGAGCGCGGAGAGCGGCGCGCGGAGCAGCAGCGAGAACTGGAGGCACCCCGGGGGTGAAAGCCAGACGTTCCCCCCGCGGCCGCGGCCTGTCAGCTGTGCGGAGGCGAGGGACAGGAGAGGCGTCGGGAGGGAGGTGAGCAGGCGGATGTTCCTACCGTTCTGTATGAGTACACGCATTGCATGGAAGTGAGAAAGATACACCGACTTGTCGAGCATCGTCTGCGTGCTCGTCACGACCTCCCCGTAGAGCAGCGCCTCGCCAACGCCCCACGCACCATCCGGGTAGTTCTCTGGGCACCCGCGCTCCCCCCTCGCGTTCCTCAGCTCCTCGTAGTATGTCTCGATCCTGAACTTCGGGGTCAACTCCTGCGGCGCGGTCATCCCGTCCTTGTACACAACGATATGCTTCGGGTTCCACGTCGCAGGGTCCTCGCCCAACGTCTTCGTAGCCTCGCGCTGCTCCGCAAAGACGCGCGCAGCTTCCTGCTGGGGGTGGAAGAGGAAGGTGTCGTTACTGTCTTTGAACTCGTACGGGGCGGCGGCAGCGAGTTCGGGCACTTCGAGTGCACGAAGGATCGTCTCCACAACACCTATGCGCCACGGCGCGCTGCTGAGGATCTGGGGCGTCGGGCGGGCAACAGCACCATTGTCGCTTTCTCCTGCTGCCGAGGGCGACGGCAGGCGCAAGCCCAACAAATCGAGCGTGCGCCGTAGAGCCTGGAGGCGTGCCTTGTCCCGCGCGGGGTCAGACGCGAGAGGAGCCTCGAGATGTGCGCCCCAGAATGCCGCGACCCCGCGCCCGATGCGCGCCTTGATAGCGACAACGCACGAGTCCTCGGTCGGGTCGTATTGCGCGAGGAACTCGACGCCTTTCGCCGAGAGGGCTGCCTCAGGGAGGGTCGGGAGGTCCACCCCGCCCGCGCTCTGGACACCATCGAGCTGTGCGCCATCTACGAGGCGTATCGCAGGTGCGTCGACGATCCCCTCGGTCACCGGTGCAAGCGAGAAAGCGAGCCCAACATCGCCATCCTCGAGCGTGAGCTTCGGCCGCGGGGCAGACGCGGGCGTCGGGCTGACGTCGGAGATGCTCACGCCGGCGACCTGCGCCGACAGCGCCAGCGCGGTCGGGATCTTCGAAGGGTCGACGCGCACCGCGTTGCCCAGCGAGAGGAGCTTCCCGCCCCCGCGGACGTAGTTCTGGACGTCTTTGGCCGCGGCAGCGGAGAACGCGCCCGCTCCGCTTTGGCTTTGGAAGGGGGGGATGATGAGGAGCGCGCAGGACGCAGGCCAGGGCTGGGTAGGTAGGGCTTTTGCATCGAGCGTTTGGACGGCGTAGTTTGGGGTGAGGAGGGTGCGGAGGGAGGTGAGGGTGTGCGAGAGGGAGGGCGAGGAGGTGTCGGGGCCAGTGTAGACGAGGACGTTCATGGGTGTGATGTGCCTCTGATTTAGACGATGAGGTATTAAGTTGCGAGGAGGAGTGCGAGGCGGCCTCGAGAGGGCGCGGAGCGGAGATCGAGCAAGGTCGTCTGGAAGAAGCGATGCCGTACGATGAGCCAGATGAGGACTCAGAGGGTAGTGGGGCGAGACAGAGCCGTGTCCACCATCTACAACCCACTCACAAAGGTTGCCAGTAAAGTTCGAGTATCCGAAAACAATGTACCCACCGGACTTCGTCTTCCTCGCGATCGTCAGTCCGAAAGGGAGTCGTAACGGCGCAGGCTATAGAGCCTTGTAGATTGTACCTGCGGTGACGAGGAATCGCGTCCGCTAGCCTGTGCCAATCGTGCTGTTATATGTGCGCTATTCCACAGGCATGCGCCCACAGCATTTACAGAGTTGGATGATCGTGAGTTGTTGGTCGGAGGAGGTAAGGAGGAGGCCGCCAGCGCGTCGCGTGATCGGACTGCCCGATCTCGGAGTATCGTTCCAGGTCGGTAAGTTAGCCTTGTACTTACGTCTTGCATGAGTCGTCATCGTGCATACTTCAGGCTTAACAGAGGCTGCCTCGCGCGTCGTCGCAGCCCGAGTACATACGAGCAGCCGGTATCAGCTCGGGCTCCCAGCCACCAATACAATACAGCCATAACATACACTATCCGTACTGTCCAATCGAGGCACACGGCCACGCCCCATACATCCAGCTCCTCCCTCCGCCACATCGGCCTCTCCTCTTCGTGCCATTTTCTCAATTACTAGACGGGCCCATCGACTGGCATGCCTGGTACCTTCTCCCCAAACGCCGCGTTCGTCGTCCCCGTGGATGCTGGGGATCTCTGCGTGTCCTGTGGCGACGGCGACGGCGAATGCGAGTCCTCACCAACGTCGACGATGATGACCGTGTCGTACCTATCGCTGCCCTCGTTCTTCCCTTGCGCGTTCGCGCTCACTCTCACGCCCTCGTATGTCTCCGTCTGGGCGGAGCTTTGTATGATGTTTGCGGCAGGGGATGCATATGTATGAAGGGGCCGGGACGTGGGCTTGCGGCCGCGGGCGCGCCCAAGGGAGAGCTGGGCGCGAGCGTCGGCGTAGACGGAGGCGAGGGCGAGGCGGGCGCCGTCCGTGCGCGCTCGAAAGGCGAACTGGGTAAAGAGGTAGGTAGCGAGGGTAGATAGCGTGAGATTGAAGGAGACGAAGGCGAAGAAGATGAGCGTGCAAGCGAGCCAGAAGCCTGTATGTGTGCGAGAATATGAGGGATGGGGGACAGCATGAGTACAGGAGACGAGGGTGAGCTGCTCACCGAAAAAACTTATAGCGCTAGAGGCAAAGAGGATAGCACCAGCAAGCGCGACGAATATCGAGGTCGCAACGATGAATACTGAGAATCCTCTGAGGGATGATGAGCCCTGCCGGTGTATAAACGAGTATTGCATGGTGCCTTACATGAACGAGAGGACGGGCAAGATGCTGAGCGCAAGATAGAACGCTATAAATGTCTATTCAAGCCGGAAATTAGCCCAGTTGCGGCCGCATGGGGTGGTGCGTAAGCAACTCACTGAGCGAATGGGTCGTTTGTGAAACGCAACAGAAACATAGTCCAAGACGGGACGCACTACGTCCTGCTCAAAGCTAGTCGCAGGTGTGTCGTTCTCGTCCGTCAGAGCGTGAAATTGGACGTCTGAAGAACGCACCGTCCAAAAGTCTGTCTCACCGCGGACGCGCTTTTCTCGAAGTAGTCCGCCAAGAGATCCTCCTCGCCCTCCTCGTCCACGTCTTTTTCGTATTTCGCAATCGGCATTTCATCCGCCTCCATGTGCGTCCCAGGATTTAATTGATGGAGCCTGCAGGTGGGATATGAATGAAGCAGAGGAGAGGAAGCAAAGTGAGAGTCTACTGCGGGTGACAGTCGACATGAGCAAGCCATGGACATTACAGACCCCGGGCCGCCGGACCCGAGACCGAGCGCGCCCCGCCTCAGCTCGCGACTCCGTGACCGCGACGACTTGCCCATCGACTACGACAACCGGGCTTCATATGTTTCCGCGCTGCATCCTATATCGTTTCTCTTAGGCCGCGGTCGCAGCGCATAAATCTGCAAGCTCCTTGAATGCCTAGAGCAAGCACTCCACATTGAACTGTAGAATCTGAATCCCGCTGGCCACATCATAGGACGTCCTTGTTAAAAAGGAGGAATGAATTGAGGCATGAACGTAGGTCTTTCCAACGCTGAACGCATATGCGTGACACAAATCTGCTGTCCACATCGGCTTGCAAGAAGGGTTTAGCGAAGACAATAACTTATATATGACGTCCTTCGGACACGGCAGTGAGAGCTTAGCGTCCGGAGTTAGTGTGCATTATTTGTTGTATGCGAGGCGCTCCATGTTGTCAAGAGACAGCCATTTCTAAATTGGTGCGACTCTTTGAGACCTCTGCCAAAACTCAATGATAACCCCGGAAGCTTGCTTGGAGGAGGCTTCACGGCTCACCTTCGCCCATTCAGGTACCGCGTTATTCACTCACTTGCGAGCCTGCGAGAAATGATATCTTCCTTGGTAACCCTCGCTCCTTTCGAGACCGCGAACGAGGGCTCTCGGCCCCAGGATGAGTGAAGCATAAGCTCGTTGTATACGATAAATATGTCAGATCAAGGTAGCTACACATCTACATACCCACAGCAAGTGACGTCTGTCTCGTTGTCACCTTTGACCGACGATGCAAGATTCCACGAGCACCAATAAATACAATTATAAGACTGCTAAGAAGCCTCACGAATCCCCCGCCTAAGACTGATCCTCCTCATTGTCCTCGACATCATCCTCCTGAAACGAGATATGAGCGCCCATTGACGCGATGAATCCCTCCGGGTTATCAGATGCATGGGACTGGAAGGCGAGCTCCGACACCTGTGACAATGAGCGAGAGGAACCTGCCAGCCTCCGCTTGACCTGTTGCAGGTTGATGAGGAACCTCCAAGTGAGGACGGCGGTTAACCTATGACGACGGTGTCAGTATCTTTTCGGGATGCAGCGGCAAGCGTGCACGTACGGTTCCTCAACATTGAGCATGCTACTCATTGTTTCGTTTGTACCGATGCTTGCCACCTGACAAGTGTGAGTTATAAAACGTCCATATTCAACCAATACTGTTGAACCCGGGGGGCGAAGGCCTCTCCCACGGGTGGCAACGACAGCGGATAGCCTGCAACTCACCTAGAAGGGTTGTTGGTTATAAGAGGCTTGTTAGAGCGATGAGAGGAGACGTTCGAGTGAACTGAACTGTAGATTGGGGGTACAGAGGTCCCCTATATATACTACTGTACA